AGGCTAGGACTCCACTACCGTAAAAACGGCGTAAAATCCCCTCGCCGTAAAAGCTTTTAATCACGTGACCTATTTGCGTTTGCGCTCGGATTACGGTGGAGGTCCGGCTAGCGCGAAGTTTTTACGGCGACGGTGCTGCTCCAAGTGTCGAAAGTAAATACTTCTTCGCACGTGAATTGGTAGAAACGGAAGATGGTTGTTTACGTGATATATCGATATAAAGACAACGATTATATTCTACGAGTATTTTCTGTACTATAATTACAAATGTAGTAAAAATAATATCGTTACTTTCATATACTAACTTTTATTATCGTATTATTAAGATAATATACAGCACTTATAAGCTTAGCTTTTTTATTATATACGCCTCTAAATTGAAGGATTTCCTTTGATATCCATTATTATAATCGAGTTACCTCTTGTCGTAGATACACGAATACTTTCGGATGTTTTCGATATATCTTTCTGGATCTATTCTACAGTAGCCACGAGGGCACGTACACAAAAGCTCGTTTTCCGCCATTTTAGCTTCGTGTTGCGATGACGTAGTTCCACTGACTTCTGATTGGTTGAAGGTACCGTTTTACGGTCGTAATCCTGTCGAAAGTTGAACATAGCTCAACTCGCTTTTACGCTGGTTTTACGGCCTGCTCAAGCGTAAGATATCAGGGTCACGTGGTTAAAAGCTTTTACGTCGAGGGATTTTTACGCTGTTTTTACGGTAGTGGAGTCCTAGCCTAAAGCTGGCAAAAGACATGAAAAATCATCGATTCTTTCATAAAATTGAAGCAATTTGGAAATCAAAATAGAATAGGATTTAACATTAGTAAACAATATAAAATAAATATTGAAAATTATAACGAGATAGTTACGGTTAATAGATATATTATATCTAAATAAATAGATGTTATATGTTTTTATCAAAGCAAGAATTGGCATTTAGAGGGCATATGGAATATATTGGATCTAATAACAGAAGTAATTATATTGAACTTGTTTATTTATTAAGTACGTCAGATAAATAATCTATTAAAAATACATTTAAAGAAAGAATTAACTGATTGCCCCTGGAAGGCGACTTCTTATAGAAACACAGCTTCCCTATCATCAAATGTCACGGCACGCCCCTGCTAAACAGAATGCTTTAGGAAGCTAATTATATTTCTTTATGGTAACACTTGTGAAAGCTAGAATTACATTGAAATGTTTGGTTCTTGCCGCTCGTGGACACTGAGGGCCTTTTTTTCCGTGCTAATTGTCCGTTTGGCCAGATCCGCAGTAGACAAAAAAATCCCGGTTCTCTCAGAACGGTAGGCCTTAACCGTCCCGACCATCTACATGCTACACATTGCAACTCGTGAAATTTTACGGTTCAGTAAATAGCAGTTCGATTATTTTATTTAAATAATATTGACATTTATTTTTTTTAAATAATTCAAAAATGATTGGTTAAGTTTGAAAATTCCAATAACTTTTAGATTATGTAACGCAAACTGAAACTTGGAGAAGTTATATATAAACCCAGAGCTAAAACTTCAAAACGTAAAGAGGTGAGAACTTTAAAACTGTACTGGAAACTGCTAAAAGTAAAACAGAGTCAGCATTACAAAGATTGTTGTATTGAAGTATAAAGGTTGTTTAGCAAGAAATTGATAAGAAAATGAACTATCGAAATGCCAAATTGATAAATTTTTAAGGTTAAAAGATATATGAAAGGAAAGCCCACAGTTGGACCATCAACATTATTACAAGTCAAAAGCGATTTATAGTATGAGCTGTCTCTCAATGTAGTCTGTTCATTACGTGAAATCCATGCAGGAATGACTTTGTGACAAAATCAACAGTTAATGAATTATTGAATCATGTTCACATCAGTATAAGAGAAGACAGCTTATCAAACACACCTTTATTGACAGCGTATCAAAGCCAATAGGCCAAAACAGATGTCACGAACTGGTTCCTGGCAGAATTTGATTAGAAGTGATGGAGAAAAAATAATAATTTACACGGGCCACATTTACTTTTGGCCAATAATAATGCCAACCACGTGGCCCGTTAAGAGCCAAGCATTTGTTCTAAACGGAATGAACGTTCAGAACAAATGCTTGGCTCGGTGATGGTCTGGGCTGGCTTTAGTTGGTTTGAGAAAACCCAATTGCGATAATCAGCGATCAGATGAACGCTCGACATTACCAATTTAGAATTGATTTAATGGGATAAGGCAATGTAACACGTAGACTATGTACCAAAGATGAATGCCTCCCGGGAGGACTTTTATGAGGAGACTGGCCTCTATTTGGGTGTTAGACAAGTGGAAAAAACCTCAAGCGGCCAGCAAACCGGTGAGGTGCAAACCCGCTACTAACTACTAGTGTTCGGTTTATCCCAAGAGATTGTAGAGAACTACTTGTTGCTAGTAGCAGAAAATATTGCTGGTACAGTGGAGCATCGATTATCCGACCCCCGATTAACCGACACCTCGGTTAACCGACCGTCTTAGTCGGCAAATTTCAAATGTCCGCTAGTGATGTGGCGCTACAATATTTGGCTATGTCTTGGCTACTTTAATATTATTTTTACGTGTTTTAGCTGGCAACACTCATTCGACCATGAAAGGGAGCCAGTATTTAAACGAGGCTTAATTTTCTAATTTTTAACGATACAATAGCGACGATTATTATTTTAAAAAATTTTTGTTAGGCTTAACATCGATGAAAATTCAACGCGAAGTAGGTTAATAGCGATATACTAATATACTTATTACATGGGATATAATAATATACTACACTAATAATGGATTTTTTCATACTTTTTGGTTATCCGACTTTTCAATTATCCGACCAACCCGTCCCCAATTGAGTCGGATAATCGAGGCTCTACTGTATATGCTGGTTTTTCAGCAGGAAAGATTGATT